TATCATAATGCTAAGAGGTTTGGAGATTATGTGAGAGGTTTAAGAAAAAATGTAGGTATGCTATTAGGTCCATAACTTTTATCATTTTTAAGAGTATTACTAATAAGACTAGATACCTCATCTTCACTAACAGGATCAATAAAGAAAGAATATATTTGAGTAATATATTTGAATATACTATTAATATTATTGAGTAGTTTTTCACGAATAGAGACAAAGTAGTTATTAAATATATTTGATGGTGTTAATATTTTCATTCAGATTTAACTAAGTAGGTGTTTTATGTAATGATCCTTTAATATTTATGATATCTTTTATGCCTTTCCATGTATTTTTTATGTTGTTTATGTTGTTATTAAAATAAGTTATGTAGTATGATTTTTTACTACTTTTTAATAAGATGCTAATTTTATTTCTATAGAATTTAAATTTTGTGAAAAGCTCTTTTTTAGTACTAATGTTTTTACATCTTACAAATTTTTTATAGTGTTTGGTTCATGGGTTCATGCTAAGTGCAACCAAATAGATTTGCTTACTTATAATCTTCTCTTCAGAGAGAAGATTATAAGTGAGCAAATCTATTTGGTTGCACTTAGCATGAACCCATGAACTGCAACAGTCACAATAGATGGCTTTGTGGTTATCTGTTACAGTTTTAAAACAAAAGATACAGAGTGTTTTATTTTTCATAACTTGATAGGCAGAATGTTATGTTTTATTATTGATAAACACAGAAGGTGATGAAAAAAAAGGAGTGACTAAGGATATAATAAATAAGATAAACTTATAATAATATAATAAGAGAGTAATTGTGAGGCAAAATGGATTTGCATAAGAACAGTATATATAACACAGTACAGGTAGGTTATACAAAATCAAGTAGATGATGTTGAAGAGATTAAACAGATGTTGACAACTAACAAAAACGCTAACAAGCCAATATAATAATAAAATAATATACTTGGGAAGAATGTTAAAATAATCATGAAGAAAAGAATAAATAAAAATAAATATACAAATAAAATGTTAAAACAAGCACAAAGAAAAGAATAACGAGGAGAAATGTACAAATAATAAATAAAGTTCAAATGATAAATATGATAGTTATGTAAATAGTGATAGTTATGTAAATAATGATAGTTATGTAAATATATAATTAACATAAACTTATATGAGTTTATGTTAATTATATATTTACTAAGTTAATATGACATTTATATAATCACTAATAAAAGCTATATAGATATATAGATAGTTATATAGGTATATAATAATATTTTATATATATGAACAAATTATATTACAGATATATTAGCTATTCAGATATAATTATAATTCTATAAAGTAATGAAAATAAATAACCTACAAATATTGATAAATAGTCCAGAAAAATAATAAACAAATGTGGCTAACCAAAAATCTCAAAAGAAAAAAATAAGGAGGTTTTATTATCTCTAAATATTATGCTTTCCAATAGATTCGTGCTTTTTTTTTCGGTTTTTCTCCTCATTTTATTTATGTTAGACTTTTCTTCTTGCTTCTTTTCTTCTTGTTTGATGGATAATGAAATATGGCTCGTTTTTTTGTTTGCTACTTTAGGGTTAATTTGTATTAATATTGATCACGAATAAATTATTTTGATACTAATTATTTTTTTAATTTTTTATCTTTTCATTGATTTAATAATAGATGGATAAATATAAATTTCGACTCGTTAAAATATTATTTTAACGAGTATTTAACAGAATAAAAAAGACTCAATTTAACTAATTTGAAATACCTTCTTAATTTATTGGGAAAGATTGTCATCATAAAATAAAATAAAAATAGTTTTTTTATTTGAACCTTATGTTTTTCAAATTACAAATTAAACTTACTCCTTATAAATACTCCTTTAATTGAATGAGTAAATAAGTAGAAAATAATCATGATAAATAATTTTTGTGATGTCACATTCGTCAAACTCCCCCCTCCCCCCTTGTCACAAATTGTCACAAACTTATGCCTCCCCCCCCCCTAGTAGCGTGACGTACTTTATGGATGACCCCTAAAAGTATACCAAACTTTAACTCAGAATAAAGACCGCCATCTTTCCTTCATCACGCATCCATTCTCCCAATCATCCAAAAAAAAAAGTGTAATTTTTTTTTGTATAGAAAATTGTGTAACAATAAGAATAAGAATTGTTTAAGAATTATACGTGTCATATCAAAATAATTAACAGGTTCTTAACCAGTGCCCGAGAATATTTTATCATCACATGTAAAATCAAAAATAATTAAAGAACCAATGCAGACATTAGTCTGCATTGGTTCCAATGCAGACATTAGTCTGCATTGGTTCCGTCAAATCAAAGACAAAAAAAAATTGAACTCAAATGCTCATTGAACTCAAAAATAACTATTTAATGAGATTCTGACTATTTAATGAGATTCTGACATATTTTTTTAGTATGTCTGGGTACATACTCGACCCATTGTAGTTGTTGCAATGGTTTTGTTGGTGTTAACCGGGACTGGATTAGTTGCAATGGTTTTGTTTGGTGTTAACCGGGACTGGATTAAAACACTCGTTCGGTTTTAGAGGGTTTTAGTAGGATTAAAACAGCAGTTCGGTTGCTCCCAAGACACGTGAAACAAAGACATTAAGAATTACAATTAAGCACCACTTTATTCCATAAAATTTAAATTTAATTTTTCACATGCATATATCAATTGTCAAATTTGATAATATAAGTGTGATAAAATACAAGTGTGAATTTTACATAACAATTTTTAACGTTACCTGAGTGTGTTTTGTTTTTTCTAATATTGATATCGCGATAATAACCTTGGTTTGGTATGTTTCCTATTTATTAGGAAACTTAGTTTAATAGGCTGTTATGATAGGAAACATACCTGACAAGCAGTGAAAATCAGTGAAAAATTTATCATATAACTCATAACCGATATTAATATTATCTAAGATATTAAAATTAAATAAATAAAATATATGTTAATTTTATAATAGCATGTTATTGAAACTAATTTTAAAGTGATATGTTAAATGAAGTTCTGAAATAAATTTTTGATTATTTGAATATAAAAACTCTCATTCTCAAAATCTTCAAGTTCTTTGATACTGTAAACATGTTTAAATATAACAGCTGATGTTAATGGAATGATATTAATAACAACTGATATTGTTGTGTGTCAAAAATTTGTAATAAAAATTTGTTTATGTAAATAGTTTTTAGTAAATCTTTCTCTTTAGTAAATCTACTAAACTATGTAAATAGAACAAAGTTTACAATGAGTATTTTATATATTACCATTAGTTTTAATGCTTCAACAAATGTGGGTATTGAACTAAATTTTACTTCAAATCTTGAAAAGTAAAAATATAATTTTAACTTGCTAATTTTAAATTTCTATATAAGCATTTAGTTTATAACTTTTTTATATGTAAATAAAATGTAAATTATAATAAAATTGTAAATAAAATCTAAAAGGATTTAAAACAATTTTTTCAAAATTTGAATAGTCTAAATAATATAGGTAAACCTCGCCATTCTTAGAAACTTATTTAAAAAAACTTTTCAACTAGATTTATGTTTTTATTCTTAGAAAAAAACATAAATCTAGTTGAAAATAATTTTTTTTTTTTGGCGTGATCTAAAAAAAACATATAACCTGCACTTATTAAAGCAGAATTATAAAATTCTTATCAGATTTGTTTCAGAATTAGACATTGACAGCTTTAAATACCTCAGACATAAAACAATTAAGTAAATGAAAAGCAAATAAAATAAAAATCTACATTTACATATGTGTTTAATTAGTTTTTATTATACACACACACACACACACACACGTACAAACATTTATGTATCTATATATATATATATATATATATATATATATATATATATATATATATATATATATATATATATATATATTTATATATGTATATATATATATATATATATATATATATATATATATATATATATATATATATATATATATTTATATGTATATATACACATACATATATATATGTATATATATATGTATATATACACATACATATATATATGTATATATATATATATATATATATATATATATATATATATATATATATATATATATATATATATATATATATATATATATTGCATTTTTTTTATTTTACACTGTGTTTCTATAAAGACTTTCAAAACACATGAGGGAATTGAAAGGTAAAATTATTGATGGTTTTATATTGACTTGGTCCATCCTTAAAACAGTACCTCCATATAATAATATTTCCGAAAAAATGCCTGTTATGTCTACAAGAAAAATTTGAAATAATTACACATGTGAACCAAGAATGTTTATTAAACAAAAAACTAGAATTGATTTCTAAATGCAGGTGCGAAATTAAGTTTCTCCTAAAAAAATCTATAAAAATAAAAAAGCTCAAAAACTAATTATAATAAATCCCCCTTAAAAATATAATAACAAAGAAAAAAGTAAACAATTTTAAAGAATTATGTTTCTTTCAAATACTAAGTCAATTTGTATTAAAACTCCTACAGATAGGCGTCATGCGTAATGTTTCATACTGACTTAAGCAATTTTTTATCAATTTAGATATCCGCCAATGCGGTTTGTACAGTTTTCCATTATGCCATTATTTTATATTAGATATTATTAGGCATTAGAATTTTCTTATATATGGCATTAAAATTTTCTAATATATAACATTAGAATTTTCTTATATATGGCAATTAGAATTTTCTTATATAAGGATATAAGGCATTAGAATTTTCTTATATATGGTATTAGAATTTTCTTATATATGGCGTTAGAATTTTCTTATATATGGCATTAAAATTTTCTTATATATGGCATTAAAATTTTCTTATATAAGGCATTAGAATTTTCTTATAAATGGCATTAGAATTTTCTTGTATATAGCATTAGAAAAATTAAAGAAATTAAAGAATTTTTTTTACAAACTTTGTTCTTCTTTGTATAACTTAATTTGCAGGTCAAGAATGTTTTTATTGTGAAACCACCACTTGAAAGATTACCATCCTAGGTTTATGACCACCTCCTAACTCTACCAAAAATTGTTTTCCAACAATTATATCAGGTATTTTTTTTACTTCTCCCATGTTAGTTGCTCTTACCACATCTAAAGAGTTTACCTGTCCCAGATATATAGTTTAATATAGCTGTAGTTATAAAGTATATATATATATATATGTATATATATATATATAATATATATATATATATATATATATATATATATATATATATATATATATATATATATATATATATATATATATATATAGTATAATACAGCTATAAAGAAACACTAGGTTAATGAAAAGTCAACATTCTAATGTATATCCAGTTTTTATACATTTTGTCAAAGATAATTTTATAACGTAAATGTTTGATTTTTTTAATAGTTTTTTGTAATGACTTTTTCCATAGTACAATAAAAATTTTTGGTTAGAATGTCAACTTCACCTACAGTTGGATTGCGAATTGAAGAGTTTACTTCGATTGACAATCGCCGTGGTTGTTGTGCATCTGCAGCAACAATGCTTACACCAGAACTTTCAGAAAGATCACTTGGAAAACCATTTATTGTTAGACACTGGTCTACAATTTCACATATCTTGTCTCTTGTTATCGTATTTGCTATTTGGTGTTTGCTTTTAAAAGCTTTTGCACGAGAAGTACAAGCTACATGTATATACATGGTCTTTGTAACTTTGTTTGTAACAGTTACAGAAAGTTTATTTATTTGGCACAAGCTTCTTTTTAATCGAGGTCTAAAAGAAAATCGAACTCAAAAATTATTGGATTTACTTTCACAGCTTAATACATGGAAAAAACTTTCTGTTTATGTTCTTTTGTCTGTGCCTGCATTCTACCAACCTAAAATTGCTCCTTTAACTTTGTCATGTGGTGTATTAATTAATCTTATTGGAATAATTCACTTTTTTCATTTTTTTAGAGAAAAAAATGTAAAAAAGCCAATACGATACCAACAATTAGGCATTTATTGAAGATTTTTTTTTTTTTAACAATACTGTTTTTATAGTAGAACATTGATATTGTACAGTAATATTTTTTGTTCTTATATTTATTTTTCAAATGGTTATATATTTTCAAGGGATAACTGCAAAGTGCTTCTAAACTGTTGCTATACGCAGCGTTATGTGCTTTATAATCATTATTATATACATTACAATCTCAATCATTTGAATCTCTTTAAATCAAAAACCTCCATAGTTTGATTAAATGCTAATTCACCATAAAAAAAGTCAACTTTCTATAATTCAAAAGTCTCTCTAATTCGAACATTTATCTTTCCACATAAAGTTTGAATTAGAAAGATAGTATGTATATAATAATCATAGAGCTTATGTATGTATATGCTCTTTATTTTCATCTACCTTGTTTATGTGTTTATAAGTCATTGCAATATTCTAAGCTGTAAAAATCTACAAATGAAATTATTTTGAAATTTTTATTATTTTGAAGTTGGTAAATGTACAAATCAATTCTCGATATACGAAATTATTTTTATTGATTTGCAAAGTTTTATAAGTTGTTTATATTTATATAGCATTATTTTGTGCTTTATATATTTATGGGATTTCTAACTGCATTTACGTTTTATTTATAAATAATATTTTATTTATAACTTAAGGGTGATACATTAACGGTGTTATAATTTAATCACCAAAGTTCAATTCACGCTTCAATATGCAATGTATTTTTTGTCTTAAATTTTAATGCAAATGCAACTTTCTTTTTTTTTTTTTTTTTTTTTTTTTTTTTTTTTTTTTTTTTTTATTCGACATGAAATGAATTATGTTCTCTTTTTATAATTTTAATAGTCTTTTTCTAGAGCTTTTTCTAAAGCCATGTGACATCCTGCTATAGATGTCATAAATGTATCACATTTTACAAATATCTTTGAATAAATATTCAAGGATTAGATTTTTATTTAGTGTAAAGAAAAAATGTTATGTTTTAAGTTATGATTAAATTTATAATTTAATTACTATTTTTATTGAGTTTTAGTAATGCCAGCTAACTCTAAATAATCATTTGTTTTTCATTTCGAAGACAGGTGTTAAATCTTATAAATATTTTTTTATAAATTTATTTAAAACCAGTAATGGTTGTTAGGTACTTTTAAATATTTATGTCCTAGACATGGTTATAGGTCAAAGTAGTTTTGGCCTAGTATCTTGGTTTTGTTTCATTGGTATTGTTTCGATGATACAGCGATACAGATATTTAACCTCCGTAGGCGTTAATATAGCTGGTTATCGTCTGTAGTCATTAATTATAACTTGTTAAAAGTAGAGCTTCTTCATGTTAAATGTCACGGATTATTCAACTGTATTACTTTTTTTATATGTAGCGTAACTAGATATTACTTTAAAAGAAATTATAAATGCTAAGCTAGATCGATCTAATATGCGTATTATCGCTTTAAAATCAATTATAAGTATATAATATTAAATGATATTTTAAAACAATATTTAATCTGAGTATTACCTTAAATATTCAAGTTTGTTTAAGACTTGAAAAAAATAAAGATTCTTATCAATGCAAATTGCGTAAATTTGTTCATGCAACCAGGGCTGGACTGGGCCGCCGGGACACCGGGACGATTCCTGGTGGGCCGCCTGGTTTTTAGCAGGTTGTTTTGATTTGCTTTTGACTTCAAACGCGATTTATGGCTAGCGATAATTATGCGATACCATCCGCAGTGAAATATTTCGTATTTTTAATGATTGCATTTTGTGAAGTGAATCTTTTGAAGTGACAGGTCGTTTAACGGTGAAAACGGCATTTGAAAACAGTGTGTGAAACTACGTGTAGCATAAAGTGAAAAGTTGATGATTGCGTATTCGGGAAGCGGGAGCGATCGGAGCGATTGTTGACCACGGAAATAATATTTAGTTGCGAAAAACTGGCCAGATTTTTTAGTCGTTTTGAGAACATTTTATTTTATGTATGTTTCCATGTTTGTCCGCAAAATAGTTATAAAGTTAAAATGTAAACTTAAATGGGCCTCTAATATTATAGTCTTCTCCTTACGTATATATTTGATAAGATGAGTGAAGATTTGAAGCGAAAAGTAAAGGCGGGGCAGAAAAGCAACATGAAAAGAAACAAAAGCTTCTTCTTCAAGGAGGGGAAAAGTGTAAAAAGATAACCGAACTTTTTAGACTAAGTACCCCCACCTAGTTTGGTGGTGATACTCTGGTTGATCAAGCCGGTCCTGCCGTCTCAGCCTCCGTGAGCTGCAGTGTGCTAACTCCATCCCAGAAATCTGTATCCTCTGACTCCTGGCCTCAGAATCAGTGTTCGGAAATTTTCATACGTCCACAATCGCAGTGCCTTGAATCATTTTTCAAGAGTCATCCGGTTCAACCAAAAGAGGATGGGGAAAATTTACCATTTTCAAATGTTCGTCAAGTGTTTTATAGAAGCCAAGACGATATCAATAGGGTTTGGCTTTCTTACTGTCACAGTTCGAAGGCCATGTTTTGCACAGTGTGTCTGGCCTACAGCAAAGCTAGTGAATCCAATGCATTTACTGATGGCATGAATGATTGGAAGCATGTTCACCAACGAATCGAAGAACACGAATCGAGTAAACACCATTGCAGGAGTGTAGAGGCACACATTATGTCGAGCAATGACAAGGACGTATATAGCTTGCTTTTTTCAAATCAAAAAAATGTGAGAGCTGCTCAAGTTAAAGAAAAACGGCAAGTTCTACAACGTGTGATAGAAATTGTTAAACTTATTGGAAAGCGAGGACTTAGTTACAGATCTATAAATGACACAGCCTACTGTCTGGGCAATGTCAATATTGACCACGGGAACTTTTTAGAAATTTTAATCCTTCTGTCTAAACTTGACCCGCTTATGAAAAACATCTTGACATCGTGACGGAGAAAAGTAAGCAACGACATGTCACGTGCGCAGCATCAGGAACGGAGGGACGAGGAGGGTTAGTAACATTTATTTCAAGCACTACTGTCAATTATGTAATTGAATCTGTTCGCCGTATGATTAAGGCATCGATTGCAGATGAGATTCAATCGGCATTAATGTTCTCCGTGCAACTGGACACAACGCAAAATGTTAGCGTAAAGGATCAATGCTCGATTGTAATCCGATATGTTAAAGACCATATTTACGAGCGACTGGTATCCGTCAGCAATTGTACTAATTCAACAGGCAAGGGTATGTTCGAGCTGTTCCGGGATGAAATTGTCAAAATGGGCATAAACATTGAAAACTGTGTGGGAAACTCTACAGACGGGGCGGCAAACATGCAGGGCCAATATTCCGGTTTCACAAAATGGCTCAGTGAGGCATCCCCAAACCAAGTGCATGTGTGGTGTTACGCTCATGTATTGAATCTTGTTCTTGTTGATACCACACAAACCACCAAAGCTGCTATCAGTATATTTCAGCTTATAAACAAATGTGCTGTTTTCTTGCGCGAATCATATATACGAATGGATATATGGGCTTCAAAACAATCAAACAATAGAAGACTAAATGTAATTGGCGAGACACGCTGGTGGGCAAAGGACCATGCATTAAAAAAAATATTTGGAAGCTTCAACAACCCATCGACGTCCTTGTATATTGAGCTAATTGAAACTTTACAAGAGTTAGCCTCCTCTGAAGACTTAACCCAACTGTTCGCGACACCGCCCAAACCCTATTAGATAAGTGCATCTCATTTGAAACAATTCTTACCGTTCAAGTTTTTTTGCGTATATTCTAACACACAGCATCATATTCCAAGTTCCTGCAGACAAGTGGGATGGACGTGCTCCAAGCCTACCGAAACGTTGACTGCACTATCAAGGCACTGCGAGACGTGTCCAGAGACTTTGATGGCATTAATGCGAGCGCTAAAAAATTTGTCGAGTGGGCCAACAACTCATTGGAAGATTTGAAAATTGATGTGACGGTTGAAGCTGCATTGCCAGAGAAACGAGTTCGCGTCCCAAAAGCAATTAGTGGTGAGCGACGCATTCACGAGGCTGTCGGAGATCGCGCAATTGATTGCTACAGGATAACGGTACACAACTGCGTTATGGACAAAGTAGTGAAAACTTTGGAAGAACGCTTTAAAGCTCAAGACACGTTGTTCGCTGACATGGCGTGCTTGAATCCGGAAAATTTCTACGATATCAAGAAAAACGGTATCCAACCTACTGCCTTAGTACGTCTCAGCAGCATTCTAACAAAATTTAATAAAGATGCAACAGCTTCAAATTTACAATCCGAACTCATCGACTTTTCGCTCAAGTGGAGCAAATTTAAGAAGACCGTTCCTGAAGAGTATTTGGGCATGAACTTAGCGGAAAACCGAAACGACAACGATGAATTTGAGAACGACGAGGAAACTGCAGTTTCTTCTTCGTTCTCTGAAGACAAAAAAGCTCATGGTAAATGCAAGAGTTGCAAAAATTGCCCCGTCTGTTGCTTCACGGTTTTACACAAATACAATTTCTACAGCAAAGCCTACACCCATTTGTACAATGCTTATAAGCTCTTGCTGACTTTATCGTCTACTCAAGTTGCGTGTGAACGGTTCTTTTCCAAATTAAAATACATTAAAAATAGACTGCGAAGTTCAATGTCGTCCACGCATTTAGAAGCTTTTATGCTGATGTCTGTCGAAGTAGATGTTATGGTTGGGCTGTCCAACGAAAACATCATCGACTCGGTTGCAGAAATCGCACCTGGGCTAAAAACACATCTGGTCCTTTGATCCACTACCATCCACATTCGGTAAGTTTCGATAATATGGCGTCAGAAACATTATGTTATTACGGACCTTACCAAATCATAATTGATGGGTTATTTTTTTTGTTAATATCGAGTGCAACACATTACAACCACAGAATTCTGGAGACAGCATGTATACCTTTTATGATTGCAACACAGATTCTATTGGTCGAATGCAGTTTTGCACTAACTATACCATGTATAAGGTACGTGCTATAAATATTACTGTTAAAGCATCAAAGTCGATTAGCAGATGTTTTTGTGCAACTTAGTCAAATAATTGTTTTGTAGTAGAGCAGAGAGCTTGTACATTATAGTATAGTTGTGACTTTTCGAGCAATATTTTCGACTACCTATTAAAACATATTGAAACTTCTATATTATACCTGTATGGTAAATGGTAGCTATATACCTATATAGATATATATAAATATATATTATGCAAGAATAAAAATGTGAAACAGTCTACAATTTGTAGGCCTTAAAAATGTCGCCGTAATTTTATCTAACTCCTGAACATGATACGAATTTTTTTGCTGCTGCTATGAAAGTCGGAAATTCCCAGCTGAATCCCCCCTCATCCTCCCCCGCCCCTTAATGACTTAGTATTGCTGTATGTGGGCCGGACCGCTTGGTTTACAGTCCCGGGCCGCTTGACCACCCCCAGTACAGCCCTGCATGCAACAAATAATTTAGTAATTAACTTAAAATATTTAATGATTAAAAAATATCGATGAGTTAATTCTAAAATATTTTATGTCCATTTTAGACAGTTGAAAGAAAATGATTCTTAAATTGTAAACTCGTATTCAAATTCAAATATTTAAAAATATAATATGGTTTTAAATATTTGAAAATATTATACACAGAAATGTTGAAGCAATGCAATAGAATATTTTTAAATATTTGAAATTATATATTTTGATTTTTTGTTCCCAGCCTCCAATCATTGCAATTTTTTGCAAAGCATAATTATTAGACATAAGTATAAACATACGAATGTTTTTCTCAAACACCAAAAATGCTGGATCCGTCACTGGGGCAAATATATCCTCATATATATATAGCCTCAAAAAGTTTGATTTAGGGGGAAAATGACCGAAAACAGGTTGTTTTCGGGCATCTTGAGAGTCAATATTTTTAAATTTAAACTAAAAAATAGGCCTATATTATAGTTTTAAAATATGTGGGTTTTTTTTGCTACCCCCAAAAATCTTTGTTTGGTGGTATTGAAAATTATAAAAGTTGGTAATTTTTTGACATTTTTCAGTTATTCCTATTGCTATATATACATATTTTGGTGTAACTTCAGATAGTTTATCATTTTGATTTTTCTAATAGTTTTAAACTAGTACATACAATAAAAATATGGAAATGAGTGAAGAACAACTTGAAAAACAACGCCAATGAAAAACGGAACTTTTAATTATAAAAGAAGCAAAACCAGCATCAGGTAGAAATATTTTTATTACTACTATTTTATTACTAAATATTTTTTATTATTCTATTACTACTATTACTACCGTCAGGAAACATTTTTATTAAGACTGGAATTTTTAAATTACTTGTTTCTAAAATATTTATTTAAAAATGTCTAAATCGTTTCTGTTTAGATGTACAGATTCCAACAGTTTTGAATATTTTTCAACATTTAATATATAACCAACAAGTTTAAACCTTCTCCAATATCGAATATTATTTATTGTTATTGGTTGAGAGGATATAAAATATAAAAGTGGTAGTCAATGCTTTTAGTTAAATTCTCTCGTTTAATCTCTGTTAACTTATTTTTTTTTTCACTGATTCTAAAATCAAAAACTGAAACTACAGTTTTTCTGTAAATTAGGCAAAGAAAGTATCAGGAAGAAAAAATGTTCACAGAATAAGAGTTTGAGAAATGATATATCCAAAAGTGAACATATAGACACAATTCTAAACAAGGATTCTTTAATTGAATCTGATTTCGATTCAAGTAATTGGTATCACATCAAAGTTTCTGAAAAACTAAATATAGTAATAGCAAAAATTCCAAAAGATATTTATGTTGGTAATATTTCACTTACAGCTACAGCTTGTGATATTTCGCGAAATGTTTTACAGAAGGTAACAAATGCAATTCTATACCAATCCGGTGTTGATCTTAAAGAAATTAAAAGCAGTCAGTCTACTGCTTATAAAAAAAAAAAGATAAAAAAAAGAAAACATGTCAATCATTACAAAAGAAAATGTTAAGTTGATGCATCTCCTTATCCATGTTTCATTTTAATCAATTCATTTTGATGACAAGACCTTTTATAACCAATTATATTCTTATAATATTTTATAATTATTTAAAAAATTTTTTCTTTTATTTAGTTAAGTTAAATTATATTGTATAAATAAACATTTTTGGTGAAATTGATAGATGTTGATATATATGTTTAAATATAGACTCAATATTATATTACATAACACTTCAAAAAAAAGTCAATATTTAGTCATATTTATTTTCAAAAAATAATAGGAAGCAAATATTCAGGTAAAGCCTTAACAAAAAGAAATACAGAAAATGTCACAAATTTGTAGATCGATCTTTGACATATATATATATATATATATATATATATATATATATATATATATATATATATATATATATATATATATATATATATATATATATATATATATATATATATATATATACATATATATATATATATATATATATATATATATATATATATATATATATATATATATATATATATATATATATATATATATTATATATTATATATTATACATTATATATATATATATATATATATATATATATATATATATATATATATATATATATATATATATATATATATATATATATATATTTAACTTAGTTGATAGTAAATAATTTTTTATTTTTTATTTTGGTGTTGTATATTACAATTTTACCTGACATAAGCCATTGTCACAATTTCATTGAACTTAAGATTTCATAAAGCATCGTATCTTGAAATACACTGCAATTATAATCTAAAAAATCTTTTAAATAATAATATTAAAATATTATTTTTCAATATACACAGCCAGATAAAAATATATAGAACACCAAAGATTTTATATTTTTTAAATTCATATATATATTATCTTATTCTAAACATTACCCTAAATATTTAATCTGTAGCAATTATAATGTTAAGTGTCCCTAAAATGGACTATATTATCAATCAAAAAGCACTATATTATCAAAAAGGGCTATATATATATATATATATATATATATATATATATATATATATATATATATATATATATATATATATATATATATATATATTTTATATATATATATATATATATATATATATATATATATTCTTATGACATTAGATACTATTTCATTAGATGATTTATTTAACATTTAACTTAAAAATTAAACAAAATCAACACTTAAACAACACTTAAATACAATAAAAACATTTAATAAAAATTAAATAAAATCATCCAGTCTCGAGGCAACAGCTTTCATCATTCTTTGCATTAAATTTTTTTTACAAAATGCTGCTCTTAATAATTTCATTAAGTCACCCAGTATTCTGAGCTACTACTTGAGAAGGATATTGTATTATTCTTTTTATAGCTGATATCATAAGCTAAATGATTTAAACAATGAAAGTTATAAATTCAGAGTAAATCACTCTGGCATTGTTCTCAAAGCAACAAAGAAGTTCATGAACATAACCATATTGAGTCAGTTAAGCTTTTCTGTACAGTTTATATTCAGTATAAGTTACACTTAAATTAACAATTAAAAAATGGATGTATTTTTCTTTACTGGGTATATGATTTAAAACCACTTGCCCGCAATATAAAAGAAAAATTAACAATATAAAAAAAATACATATTTTAGACTCGATTTTACAACATGGTTTGCAATTAAATTCTATATAAATGTATTCGTTCAAGAAACATTAATAAACAGGTAATTAATTTGCCCAGATGACAATCAAAGAAGCAGCCCTTTTCCCAATATAATTTTAGTACATCAAGGTCCCCACCTTGAATTTCGTTGCAAGAGAACTGCTGCACCATATCAAATTTAAGTGACTCCAAGACACTGATATCCTTGTGATGATTTCGTCTAAATGTTTTAGCAATGAGTACCAGGGGCATAAAAATCCATTAAACCATTATAGGTTTATTTCACCTTACAACCACATCCATAATGACCATTATAAAGATTAAATAAGATCTTGTGCATCACAAATTGAATTATTTTACCTTTTACTTGTATGACTTTTCCATTATTATTAATAATGTCATTTGCCATGAGGTTAAAGACACCATGTGGTGTGACTAATTCTCATTCTCCATCTGTTTGAAAACTTGATTTTTTTTATTAACAAAAGCATTGAGTTTAACCAATTATTATTCTGTTAAGTAACAAAATTAATAATTCTGTAATAAGTGATGTCAAAATAACTAAAAAAATTTTGTTTTTAATTCTCTGAAAAAATCATGCGTTGGAAAAAGGTTGGTGGAAAGGGGTTGATTTTGTGATAATAGATATGCATGCAGTGGGAGGAGAAAGGGGCATAAAAAACATACAGGTGTGTACAATAGGAAGGGGTTCCTTAATCAGTGGTTTTACTGCATACATACTTTATGTTTGTCCCCCTAAGATTTCTCCGTGAAGTCTTTCAAGTTTTCTAAACTTAAATTATAAATTATGTTGAATTGCATTTTATTTTTTCATCCCACGTTTTCGTCAAGCCGTTTACTGTTCTTTTAACATATGACGAGGCTACACGCAACCAACCACAAACTGGAAGATTTCCCGTCATTTTTCCACACACGGAAAAGGTGTTAGTCTTGTTAGTGATTTCGGAATTTCACCAAAATCATTATCTCTTCTCCAACACAATTTTTTATTTTCCATTCCTGCTTGTAAACCAAGAACTTGCTCTTGCTCCATCGGATACGCGGACCACCGGCTTGCAATGAAACCCCTAGATTTCCAAATGATCAAGTACGCGACGAACAGGTATTATGTCTTCATTCACAAAAATATCATCAATGTATGATAACGTTCCTTTCCAGATTGTTTCGTCTTGCAATAGCACTTTGTCCAACACCGCTTTCATTATGACTTGCGCAACGTTTAGTCCGAATCCCAAACGTGTTAAACAAAATCTTTTTTCACGGAACACAACAGCTTGGTAAGCGCAAAGTTTCCCATCAATTTTTAGTTGCATGTAAGCTGAAGATAAATCAATTACTGAAACATTTTTTCCAAACCGTCTCCAGTCTCGAAATTTGTCAGCACACGCATCTGTGTTCGCAGTGAATGCTTCAATAAACGTGTTCAGATCCCTGAAGTCCAATACTGGTCGTACTTTTCCTTTGTTTCGCTGCACGACTGCCATGAGAGAAACCAAACCTTTTATTGGACCGTGTTTCTTCAAATCGCACTTTTGCAGCCATTTTTTCTCTATCCATCCTTCAATTTCTTTTTAGTGATCGTGTTTTATGCCAACAGGGATAGTGTATTCAGCAAACTTGTTCACTAAAGTTTTAGGTTGAGAATTATTATTCCATTTTCACGCAATTATACATTCTCGATTTTCTTTTTCAAACGAAGCTGTGAAGTCTGGAGCTGTTATATTCAAATTACTGACATCTTTTGGCATATCACTTCTTATTCCAAGTAAACATGATTCGTTCCTTCCCATAAAACAAACATCACGAGTTGCAGATATTGATACTCCACCAAAAGCCACTATTCTATCCATACCCATCAAAAAATAATAACCAAGCGGTTTGAAGTCAACTACAAGTGCTTCCACAAAAACTTCGTTCCCATTAGGCATGACGATTCGAGTTCGGCTAACGCCTTTGCACTGTTGTTGTTGTCCATTTACAGTTACCATGCTAACTACTTTTTTCCTAATTTTTGGCGCACATTTTTTATAAATGATACAGCAGGTACATCCAGAGTCAATTAACACGTATAGTAGGTAACGCCATTATTGATCGTTTGGGGAGAGAGCTGGCGCAAACATCTTCTCCCTCGTTTATTGGACAGATTCTTGATATGTGTCCTTTCTCTTGACACGAGTAACACAAAACATCGTTTGTCTCTCGTCTCCGACCCAACTTGCTTCGATTGCTATGTCTACGTAAATGACAATCTGTTGCAAAATGATTCCGGAGTTTACATTCATCACAAACTGGTTATGTTTGATCTTCAAGCAACCTCAACTCAGCAAGTCTTTTTGTTGCAGCAGCAGCAAAATTTTCATTTGTTTCATCGTTCCGTTCTTCAATTATGAGTGCTCTTGCTCGCGCAAGTATTTGTATAGTAGTAAAATCATCCATACGAGAACATGATCTCAGCATCCATCAAACTTCCTCAGGAAGCCCAGAAACAAAGGCACATGCAATAGCTCTGTCTGGTAGCCCACTGATCAGCGTAAATAGTTCAATTCTCTCTATGCTTTAATTTTCTTGTAACGAATTGTTCGTAAGCTGTAAATGCATCAACGGCGAAAGCTTTTAGCAACGCCTCTTTTATCCGGTCAAAATCTTCTTTATCGCTTTCTGCTAACTATTGATATACTGCAAATGCACCATTTGTGAGACGGAGGGGAACAACGCTCGCCAGATCGGTTCACCAATTAGTTTGCATACTAGCTCCACTTTTTCCAGCCATTCTGCAACTGATTGTTGATCGTTTCTATTAAACTCCGGAATTAACTTTAAATCAATTTTAGTCGACATTTTTGCCAAAATAGCTTGTAGTTTCACATCAAAATCGACTTTATAAGTTTAGCGTTAAGCGCCTCATATTTTCTAATGCAATTCAACATAATTTATAGACAATCATCTTCTCTTGGTATTTACAACTATGACTTTATATTATATTTACTATTTACAATTGACGCAAATCGATCGTTAACAATCATAAAATATAATTACACTTTACAAAGCTGACATCTGTAATCCACAATACAACGTCACAACAAATGAAACAGTTTCACAAATATTGTCGATATGACACTAGATTGGCCAGAGAAGCATATTTGAACTTTTATGGGTTTATGAATTGGCGGTCTGTCAATGGTTAAAGACTAACTTCACAAAGTCTATAGTATTGCTTAGATCTCAAAATACTATCTTTAATTTTTTTTATTGCTATCTTTTATCAAAATACCATTTTTTATCCTAAAGTACGTATACCAACTCACCAACGTACTCACCAACGAAACCAATAAAACGTACTCACCAACGTACTCACCAACGAAACCAATAA